ATATTTAGTCATACAAGTGAATTAATGCGGATTACTGTGAATAAACTGCGTCGAGTACTGTCAGAAGTGAGAACTAAAATTTCGTAAGTAAACAAGTTTGGCAACAATCACAGCCAATATGTCGAAATTGTAGAACTTAAATGAAGCCACTATGTACCATACCATATATATTTTTGAGATACTTTTGATTGATTGATCGATTGGGTTTGTTATAGTATGACGAGACCTGAGTCAGCGTATAAACAAAGGCGCTTATCTGCTTTCCATTTTAATTTCTATTTGCTGAACGTGCCGCATGAAAACTTGTAAACAATCTTTCCTGTGATTGTTTTGGCAATCTTTTTGACTTTAATCAGATTTCTTATCAAGTACGTAGTGCGGGATGCTGTTATCTTCCCATGTGTTATCTAATTTATACTAAAAATCTGACTACCGCATCGCAACTTTGAAACAAATTTTATGACTTCAAATATTTGCTACTCCTGAAAGGCTAATATTTATATTCCAGTATTTATATACTGAGCAGCGTGACTTACTGCGTTATTTTAACTAAACAACGAGAAACCTAAAATTGTGAAACATTTGTAGAATGTATGAAATAATAAACAAATCTTGAAATAGATACACATATATATATTTTAATAAATACATATACATATATGTAAAATGAGGTAGATTTACGTAAAAGGTGTGACATAATTTTGTAATGTGTAGGCGTCGAGACTTGGAGGCAGATGCACTCAAAATTTATACTTCAAGAAGCACATTATCTTTGAACTTTGTATCACTATTTCTCTATTATATGTAATTGTTATTGTAACAAGTTCCATTCATTTAAACAACATTATATAAAAATTTTATTGTTAGGCATAGAAAAATATACAGTCAAATAAAATATGTATTTATTACATTAATCAGTTTAGCTCTCCCTAACCTCCTCTGCAATTTTATTTATATTATGAAAGATTTAAATTATATGTATATTAAAGTGATTATACCTTAGTAGAAACCCTATTAAAATCTACACTGAACTTCTTACACTGTAGAGTCAATTACCACAATAAGAACATAGATGCGGTAAAAAGTAATTCCTATCGACTCTGTCATAAGGAGAACGAAACGTCAGAATATATGCTATGCAACAGCGGCGGCAAGACGAAGGATTGATTACCTTGGAAGCGGAATCTTAGTCCCAAATCAAATAGATAAAATTAAGCCCACAGTAATTACTAGATTTATACATAGGCTAGAATTGCTTTAGTTTGGCCTTTGGGCACACAATAGATCTTTTAGGTCGGGATGTATTCATAGACTATTATTTAATAATAATAATAATAATAATATAAAATTGATTTCTAACGTTCGTTTTGAAAAAAACTAAATTCTATGAATATGAATAGACAGGTTTTTATCGAACAGTAGTGAAATTATAACAACGAAAATTTTTATTATTATTTTTAATCAATAAAATATTTGGCTGACCATTAATGTGTATACATTAATATTTTTTAATTGTTAATTTGTTCATATTTTTGTATAATGAAATTAATTAATTAATTAAATTTAATTTAATTACATTAATATGCTTAAACTATTATTATAGTTTGTAATAGGGTTATAGTTTGTTTGTAATATATGTAATACAATTTATTAAGAATTTAGTTTCTATTAAGAAAATAGTTTTTATTAAGTAAATAGTTCCTACTTAAAACATAGTGTATTTTTTAAAAATTGATTATAAATATCAAATTTAGTAGCATTTGTTTAAAAATTCATTGAATCCTTTAACGTTTATCACATGCATAAAATCTAGTAATATTAAGACAATAGCATATAGTAGTACTATACTAATGCTCTATAATATTTTATTATTAATAAAATCTTTATAAACCTATGACAATTAAATATTGCAATAAAGCTATTTAAAACTCCCATGCAGCATATTAGGTAATACGATAGAAAGGACAGTATAAAAGCCTAAGACAATAACTGAATCTTAATCAGGAGTGAAGATATCAAAACATCAGTATACCTATAGCAAAGAAATATAGTGTTTTTAAATGAGATGCAAGAACACTCACTACAAGGAATAGTACAATGAAGGAATACTACATTCTAGAGACACTTACTTAATAGAACAACAAATAGAATCAAATAATTCAAACAAATAGAACAAAACTCCAAAATGCAGTTCCTCAAAACAAAAGGTCAGAACCATACTGTATTCGAAAAGAAAGATAAAGCTAAATTCAGAAAATTAAGAAAATCTGTTTATCAATATTGCTTACAACTAATAGAGACAATTTTATTTAGTACACTAATTTTTCCTATACGTCCCGCGCTTTAGAACAGAGAACAGCTATCGTAAGTAAAAAGTTTGTAAATCATCTTGGAGATATAAAGACCTGAAAAATTCGTAAAACACATGCTCAAATCAATTGTTTTGTTTACAAAAATAAAAAATTGAACTATTGGGAACGAAGATTCATCATCAAAATGATGCAATACCGTTAATAAAACTCATGGACTGAGTCACCATTTGAATCGACCAAGACAATTTATAGGCAGGAAAAATAAATCTGTTTATGGTTGGTCAGTTACAATAGCTGCCGTCACTAATTAAAATATCAAAAATAGAATCTAGAGAAATTAGTTGATATATTTTTAAAAAAAGTTTTTAAAGCCCACATGTGCAATTATTAAAATAAAATTGTTCCCTTTAGATCACCTTATATTCTAACTCACATTCCACCCATACATCGTAAGTTAGCAACAGATTTTCTCTCGGCAATAACAGTTAATAAATGGATGCATCCTACGCGCGCTCATATGTTAGGACTTTAAAAACTTTATAAATTAAAAACAAATTGCAATACTGAAGAATAACTTTAAAGAAATTTCTGCTGATATTAATAGGTAAAATGTTATTTAAACTAATCTTTAATCATTTAGAATTTTAAAAGTTTCATAGATGTCTGTGGGTTATAGAGATTAATTAACTTAGCTCTAAATGATATTACTTTTGCCTTACAAGCATTATTGATTGCTACTAATATATAAAATGATTCTTCTATAATATGTAGTTCTAAAATACTATATAAAAATTATTATTAAATTGTTCTTAAATATCTTCTCTTCATATGACGTTATCAAGATCTCTCCAAATGATCACATTGATTAAGCTATAACTCCACTGAAATTTTATTTAGGTAAATTCACACAAGCTAACAATAACTCCAGTATTTTTATAAATATTAAAGAATCTCATTTAACAAACCATCTTTATTTGTGATTTTATCAAAGATCAGAGATGCCTTTCTGACATGCTGATCTTTACAAATTTATAAAGTCTATGTTTCAGTGTTAAGTTCAGAAGTCTGCCTTTATCTATTTATTTGACACTTGTGACATTTTGTATTTTAAATATTTGTGAAATGAATTTTTTTATATATATTTTACTTTTCGAACCTCAGACAGTGATTAATTTATTAAAAAAAATTTTAGAATTATTCATTTTTTTAATAAAAGTGAATTTTGTAGTCTGACAAGGAGATAAAAGTGACAGATAAAAATCAATTTGAAATATTTTATATAATCTCTTTGGTATAAAATATTTGAAAATTTTTTGTAAATTTAATTCGTATCTATAAATTGATGCGAAAAGTTAACAATTAAAATACATTTAGTGAAAATAAAATTATTAATCCACCTCAATATTAGATATAAGTTATACGATTAAAAATAGAGGGTTGAACATTTAGAGGGTTAATTTACTTCCATAAAGAGTTAGGATTTACCTATTGCCTAACTATTTAGGATTAAATATTTTACCAGCTTAACATAAAAAATTTTTTTTTTAGAAATTAGTACGAGTATTTCTCAATGTTTCTATATAAAAAGTTAGGACACTAGTAGTTTACATACAAGAGTATCTCTGCCATATTGATCGGTTGTACGTGCCAATAAATCCAGTGACCTTTACGTCGAAAGAGTAGCAATATAAAGGCATACCGATACTTCCGTTAATAGCTGCAGAAAGCCATTTAATCATGTAAATATCAGTCTATATACTATATATATATGTATATCATATTTATATGGCTATATCTGTACTTTTAAACTTTTGTCGTGATGAGAGGATCTCTTTAAAATAAATTTGTAATTTTTATTTATCAAATTATTATCTACAATTTTATTTTTTTTTTAGTCACTACATTTTTTATTGAGCTGAAAATTGTAGATCACGTAAAAACTACATGATTATAATTAAAAATTGAAATAAAAACTTTTAATAAAATCTGCACGAACTAATTTATTTTTAATTATACTTTAAAGTAATTATCATGTGAGAATTTATAATATTTTTATTTTGGGATGACATCAATTTGAATTTGTTGTTGAGAACTTTGTTATAGAAAACAAACATTACGAGTAATAAAAACACATTGAAAACATATTTGGAAACGAGGTGCTCGTCTTCTTGTCTTCTTAATCTTTATGAAAGAAATTGAAAGGAATATTGCTCATAAAAGTGGCAAATGATCTTAGGAAGAAAAATACTGAACATTAACAGTTGATTTACTTGAGGAATACTTTTTCACCATATATGGACTATTACATATTTCAATGCAATTCAATTTTGTATTAGATTTGACTTTATAAAATTTGTGACCTACCCCAATGTAACACATGAATATTTCAGGATATAGCCATGTGCTTAACAGTTACTTGTCACGTATTAACGCGTCCATTCTTTATGTGTGCCCAAACTGCACCTCCACGCCCCATGACCATCTGTTTTCTTGCCCCAATGCACACTCCAATTTAAGTCTAATCGACCTTAGGACTCGTCCTCTTGAGGTAGCTAGGTTTCTTCGGCTGGATCCTGGTTAGTATCAAATCATACCAACCCTTCCCCTTCCTTCATTCCAGTACCACAATCCCAAATTTCCACTCCTTTACTCATGTATTTGTCTCGTAATCCTTACATGTTATCTGCTTTCAGGTCCCGGCGGGTTACAACAACAACAACAAATCTATATTTAACATTTTATATTTATTTCTTATGCCCAAACCTCCAGCTCCTCAGATCAAACTGAAGAATAATCACCAAATAACGACATTTAGTTTTTTGTAAAATTGAGGCAACTGACATTGTTAGAAGTATGAACAACATTATCGTATTTTCAAGTTAACTCATGGTGAATTTCACAAACATAATATAAAAATATATCAGATAAGTTAATCACCATTATCCCTTTTATAATATTTCTATATTTTTCAAGCAGCAACAAATATAAGTGGGACCAGAAAATCAATATCGTAATCTTTAAATAGATATATTCTTTAAATAGCTGATTTTTCATGTATAAACAACATATATTTAATATTTCAGCAGAAGAATGCTAGAAGAATGTAGAAGGGATCTGATCTACTAGTTCTACAATAGTAATATTAGTAAAAGCTTGTATTATAAAATGTATAATTTTTCAATATATAAAGTAAATAATTTACACTTTCATTTTTACAAAAGATCTATCCAATATGTTATCAGAAGGCTGTTAGAAAAAGGATCATCTTTTTGCTTTTTCAATGTTCTTTCATCATCCAACAACTCTCCAGCTTAGACTGAAAGCGGTAATATTCAAGTAATCAAGCTGTCACGCTGTCAAGTTGTTAATCCCTGCTGTCACTAATCAGGCTATAATCTTTATATAAAGATTAAGAAATCTTTAAGATCTAGTTTCTAACAATATTTAAACAGAGATATGGTAGAGTAAAGGTTACTCATCTTGCTTTCGTTTTGTTAGTCAGCATCTAATAATTCTTTAGCTAAGAATAAAAGCTGGCATCATAATAGTTACTAATTTTGTAATAATTAATTTGTTTAAAGGTAAAGGTATAAATTGATTTAATTTACATTTTTAAAGATTTTTTTTTTAGTTTAATTGTACTTCATTTCATTTATTCATTTAACATACGATTTTCAACAAGTATGCTCACATTGTAGTGATGACATTTTCAATAATGTTAAGTTGATTTCGATCGTCAGTAATAATTAAGTGGGAAATACTATATAATACATCATCTATTGTCTATTGTGCTAACACAAATTATTTTAACCGATCATCAAGTTTTTAATAGCCGTGAGCACTTTTGACGGTTTTGTTTTGTTTAATATGTTTTATGGAGCAACAAATCTGATTTCAAACACAGTTAAATATTTTTTATAAATCTAATTAATTGACTTATTTAATGCTTGTTTACAAAAAAATAATATAGAACTTGTGCCTTTGAAATTTGAAGCGGTAACTAATCGTGTTTTGATGGGCACGAGTTCTAAGCCTGACACTTGCAGTCCAAACACATTGTAAACGGACTATAAACTAATTAGGAAAATCGAATATTTCCTAAGACCACTGATGATGAATACTTGGCAATACTCAAAACAGTTTTAATTTATTTAAATAAATTAAATAAATTTTTGTGCCTGTCTTTTCTTTGCTATTCGAATCCGTTTGTTTTCGTCATAAAGACAAGTCACTCTCGGCAAGAAAAAATTAATATTAATAATATATTTTTATTGAGAGATCAAAAAATTATAGATTCAATATAAAATGTATAAGTAGTAGTGGTAGTAATAGAATATATTGCATTCGGTTTGAACATTAGTTGTTCGTGGCACTAATGTGTCCATTGTTGATTTATTATATCCTATGTACTATATTATAAGTATAGCCGTAATTTTTTCTTTCAGAGTAGCAAAAAATACTCGGAATTTATGAAAGAAAACATATGGAGCAACAATATAATGCTCTTAAAATCTTCAGAGTTAAGTTTTACTCGCAAAAAAAAATATTACATTTTAAGTTTCAGTGGAGTCAAATTTAAAAATCAGTCTATTGCGAATGTTTACTGGAAATATATTACAAAATTCTAGTCATCCGTTAAAATCATATGAGCAATACGTTTACTAATATATACATATACAAATTTAAATACATACATAAATAAATTTATTTAAATATATTAGATAAAAATGCTAACCATTGCGTTTCTAATATTCATTTTGTTTTCACTTTTATTTAAATTAATTAATTTAAATTAATATAATTTAGTGCAACAAAATACAGATGTAAAAAAAATTATTTAAAATATTTTAAAAGTGTTGCCAATTTGTTTAAACCAGACTTATTGCTGTTTTTTTACAACTCTGTAAGAAAAAATTACGGCTAATATAAATTGTATAAAATACACATATTTCTTTTTACCCATAATATACTGAATTCATTATAAAAGCATATGTTCATATATTTTTAATAGAACCCTAGCTTTTGATGTGACTATTCAAATATATTTGTCTATCTTTATCTATATTCTATATATTTATCTTTTTGTCCATATAATATATTTTTATAAGCAAAATAAACAAGTTGACTATATTTGCTAATCCATTACGATATCACTATAAAATAATTTAAATATTCACATAAATATCGGATAACATTCAGAAAACCAAATTAAAATCCAAATTGGCTTTGATTAAGGCACTCAGTTAGTTCATGGGTGCCTGCCTATGCAATGGGCGCTTAATTAAATTGGAATGTCCTTGACATTTTTTTCACAATTCATTTACGCTCTCAATTAAATACTCGCTCGTAGTTTAATTTGAAACACTAACCTTTCTTCTGCTGTTTCCACAGGTTCAGTTTGCATGGCATTAGCAATGTCGTCGGTGGTTTCTTGCATGGGACTTGAGCCCAAATCTATGGAAGTCATACCCTCAACCATTGTCATTTCTCTTGGTGTAAAACGATGTGTGTTTGTGTGCGTTAAATTGTCGAAAACTTATGAACGTGTTTAATTACGTTATGTTATTTAATTGAAGGCACGGTTCTGTTGTGGGCTCCGAAGGTTATTTATATTTGTAGGAATTTTTACTTTGTATCTATTTGCTTATTGATGATTCAGTTCTGGTGGGGGTGGCGTATTGGTGCTATTTATTCGATTTACGTTTCTGGTTAGATTTTTTAAATATTGATTTTTGATTTAGTCACAAGAGCGGAAAAATCAAGACAAAAATATATTCTATAGATTTTGTTATGACTTTTTTCTTTCTATTTATATTTTATTTTTGTGTTTTTATATTTAATTTTATTTATTGACGTAATACCGAACAAAATTTTCCTTACAAAGTTCTTATTTTCTCTTTTTCAATTTACTCAGGAAACTTTCTTCTATTTCTTTTGTTTGAAAAATGGAAAATTATTTCAATTTGTTTTCGAATTTTAAGTTCGCGTCTAAGCGTGAAAGATACAATTTTCTCTTGCTCAATAACGTTATTTTAATTTATTTATTTTTACTAAATATATATTTGATTATATTTGTAATTTTCAATAAAGAACTACAAAAAAACTACAAAATCTGCTTCAAAAAGTTACTTTCAAAAAATTGACTATAAAAAGTGTGAACCAGGTCGCCGGCGGAAGGGGTGCTTGAGTACACAAGACCGTAATAATAATAATAATATTTCGGAATACTTTTCAGTGTAAAGAGATTTCGCGCGTTTCAACTCAGCGGTCTTCACAACTTGTATCTGCGTTTGGAACAACCCGTACTGTTTAAAACGTACAACTCGACTGATTTCTTATAGGAAAACTGAGAATTGCGATACATTTTAAACGAACGATGGCACTGAGTCTTGTGTACTGCGCAACTCATATTTTCTGCATGAGTGCTCAGTTTGGAGAGTTTTTCTATGTGGCGAGATGCGTTGGCATGTTTTGCTCTATGTGAAACATCACAAAATTGTGTTTAAAATAATTTCATTAAAATCATTCAAATAGATTAATATTTAAACATTTCATTCATTCATTCATTCAAATATAATTTATTAATAAATACTAAATAACTGACAATTAACAAATGCGATGATATACAATGGAAATGTGGACTCCTGGTATGAGTATTTTGGATTCAGATATTAAATATATTATAAGAGGCGTTAGGAATTTCTTTAGCATATGCGCAATTTAATTTCAGCATAATTACTTTAATTAATTAAAACGAAGAACAAAAAAACATTTACTAAATAAATATTAGAATATCTTTTTTTCATTCAATATACACATATGAGAAGATATTTGAATATCTGTTCATTATCTATATTTATTTTAACTATTATTATTATTCTATATCTATTCAAACATCTATTTAATTTGTGTGAATAGATATTGAAATTTCTATTCATATATATATTGAATATGTTTGAATAGATATACAAGTATATGAATATATATATATGTATATATTCGCCAGCTAGACATTGCACAAAGTCAGACTCTGAGAACACTTTTCAAGGTAACATGATACATTAGGACGGATGATATCCTCAGGTACCTCAAGATTGATCCGATCAAAAAATGCATGAAGGAGAGAGCCCCGAAATTATTTGCGAAAACTGACAGACTAACCAACACCGCGTTATCGAATCTCAGAATGGTTACAGGCTCCTCGGGGAGGTATGCAGATCTGAAGTCAATTATTGCTTAGTCTGATGAAGTGATAAACAATGATCCAGTCAAGGCATAAAGAGGGGTTTTAAAGATACCACGAGTTAATAAAGAGTGAAAGTGCTCAAGTGCACTGGCTCGAATAGCTTCAACATAACATATATATGTACGTATAGATATTCAAATATATATTCATTTATATGTTGAATAAATATTTAAATATATATGTATAAAATCTACAATATTACATACCATAAAAATTGAAAATATATGAACAACTTCAATAAATAAATTAATAAAAAAAATAATTAAATATAGGAAATAAAAATATAATTAAATAAAATAATAAAGAATAATGCAAAACAATTTAAACAATACATATCAATAGCATATACAAAAACTTATTTAAGGGGGAAGTTATGAAAAATCATTCAAATTTCATATCAAAATTTTTAATTCCAAAAGATCTAACATATCTAATACAAAACCGGAAGAAATAGAAATTCATTTAAGGCAAGGTTTTTGAAAATTTAAGGTTCATAACAATACATTGAACTTAAAAAAAATCATATTGAGTATAAAATGATATGAAATGTGTTAAGTCGATTTGGACCCAAAAAACCTGCAAAAAAACCACTATAAACAAACCACTTGATCAAATTTGTTTATAGTAATGCCTTTTTTCTGTTAGACTAAGGTAGGGCTAATTAACCTAATTAGTCTAGCCGTGAGCATTACTAATGCCCTTTGGCTTTCGATTGAGCTAAGGGTTAATGCAGGTTTGTAGTAAGCATTTTGTTAAATACTGACCCTTGTAACCTCCTAACTTTCCAAATTGTGAACCCAAAAGTTTTTAAGGATTTTTGTGAGAACATAGGATATAAACATAAGAGATATTTGAAATTCGATTAAACTTGGGTACTTAATATAATTGTATACAGGTTTAAAGGATAGCAGCAATAAATAAGTGATAGGAAAACTAGAAAAACTAGATACACTGAAGGTTACTATGGTATTTAATTAATATATTTTAGTACTAAGGGTAATACACCCTCTATTAATATTATTGAAGACAGTGAAAAGAAAGTTTAACGAAATTGCTATCCCAATAAAAAATGAAGCGAATGAGAACAAATTTTGAAATTTTCATTTTGTGATATATATATGGAATTCTATGAATTCTATAAATTCCATTTTCTTTAAAAATAAATCTGAAGAACTCAGATGTAAAAGTCATCTAATACAAAAAATAGCCTAATCAATATGTAAATATACCTTCAAATATACCTACAAATCCAATAGAAAAAGAACTGTAAATCATCTTCGATCTTGATGAGAACTAGGAAAAAGTTGAGAGGAACCGATAATATTGAAAAAGTGTAGCAAAGAGAGATAATGTTATACATTTAAATGTTTTATCAATGATAGAAGAATAGAAGATAAAAAGTCAAAGACACAAGTTAACAAAACAAATAGAAGACGAAATCAGTGTTTTAGTTGTAGTATAGAAAAAGAGAGTACAAGAAAAGATTGGTTAAGAAGAGTGAATTAAACTAAACATTTTTTGTTTCTTAAGAATTTAAATATTATAATTCCTTCTAGAAGAATTATGAACTTTTTAGACGTTATTACTTTATTTTCGTTAATATTTTCATTTAATTAGAATATATTGATTTTCAAATGAATTTTGAATAATCTTATGATCTTGTATGCTTTAACCCTATATATGTTTAAAAGGTAATAACCATTTAACCATAACCATAACCATTTGGAATATTTTTTATTAACGTAACGTATTTTGCTCCTATTTGTTCTTATTTAAAATAAAATTAAGCGACGTCATATATGGTATATGTTCCAATTAAAACACAACTTTATTTCTATTAGATATGAATATAGGGCAAATGAATCACTTTATAAAGTAATAACAATATAAATAATAGTACACTGAAAATAATAGCTTATTAACTAAATTTCTCTAGGTTGTTATTATAAATATTAGAATTTGCATCTGATTCATCAGTTTGCATAGTACTTACTCAATACATTAAATCAATTTGCAAGTAAATGAAATTTAAAAAAAGATACTAAATTTGACACTTAATTAATGGGTTATGGAAGATCCGGTATTTTTTACTAAAAATGTTTAACACAAAAAACTTTTATTGATTGCTCTAAATATTGCTAATTTGACTACATTTGTATTGTTAAGCAAATAATTATTATTATTATTATTCATTTATTATAGAATACTGCGACAAAATTAGAACAGTTGAAGACCTGAATAACCTTTTTGCATTCAAATAAAACTACAAACAGACAGAAATAAATAAACTGCGTCATCTCATTAAGTTGATCAAGAACTCATATATATATCTACGCATATCAATAAATTATTCCAAATTTCCTTTACTGCATCCAAAAAATCTTGACAAACTTAATATACTCTTTTAACACTATTTACAAAAAATGAAACAACTTAAAACAGAAACAGACCACAGTTACAGATCATAATAAGCAGTATAAGAAAATCATAACCTTAAATATAAATATATATGTCATTATAAGAACAAATTTTTGACTCAATTACGACAAAAAAAATTTGCAATTTTAAGACCATTTTCAATACATTAAAGACCTTAATATTAATTACATTATAATTGTATTTCGTGTAAAAAAATGTTTCCATTAAAAACTGTTTCACATAAATGAGCTGCAGTTAAATGCTTCAAAACAGCACTCTTTTAGAATTAATCTATAAATAACTCTCCGAGGAGCACATTCGGTTGTACACTGTTTTAATAAAAAAAAGTGGAAAACTGAGTTAATATATTTCAGTCGTTCTTTTATAACGTTTTTAAATCCCGAAAATAATTTAATATTGAAGTTGTAGACTTGATCTACTTGCTTAACAGAAAACATCAAGAAATTTGTTGGTATATTAGCACCAATTTATTTTGGCAGTCACCCACAAAGACGTATTATATCTGTTAGGGATTTTTATACTTAAATATATGCCGACAAGCAACAACGATACATATTATATATCATATAGGTTGGAGTAACGACAGATAATAGCCCGTTGTAATACCACTTGACCAAAAATACCATCAAAAAAGGATAAAGAAACCATATCTACTCATAGACAACATTAAAAAGGCACAACTCCAGGATATAAGTAAAAGTGAATCAACCTGACAAGTCAATAAAGTTGGCTATGTTCCTAATTTTAAAGTATGACAGCTCTATCAGATCAGTTAAAAACGGGATTTCAAGATTATTATT